CACAGATAGCTTCACAGATAGCTTGGCAGCAAACCAATGGATCAACCACTCACGGCGCGTGACCTACACCAATCATAACAAATATACACACTAAAGCTCACGCTCGAATTGTACATAACTCATTTAATTTTGTTCTTAGTGTGTTTTTAGCCTTCACTCTCATTATTGAGTCTTAATCTTGGCCTAGGAATGCCTAGAATGCAATGAAGATGCAAAAATGTATTTGAAAATACTTGGTCAAAAATGCTGGGAACAAGGGCCTCGCTCAAGCGCAACTTCCTTCGCTTAAGTGGACATGAAAACATATGAGGGGCCGCTCGAGCGTACCTTTCTTCGCTCGAGCGGTCTGCAAACTTTGAAAAAGTACTGGTTATGTGATTTTTACACTCGACGGTCGCTCGAGCGTGAGACTCATGTACCCGCTTGAGCGCAACCCTTGTCGCTCGAGCGGTCTGCAAAAACATAAAACTTCTAGGAGTACGCATTTTACGCTTGAGCAGACTTCTGGTCACTCGAGCAAAAGTGCAAGGCCTCAGAGCAGTCGCTCGAGCATAGAGTTTGCCACTCGAGTGGAAGTGCAGAATTTGGAATTCCCAGATTGCACTCCCAAGCTCCAAACTCAAATTCAAAGCCATTAAACTCAACATTTGGGCCCCAAAACTTAAGAAAATCAGTTTAAACTTGAATACATTAAGAATTAACGATCATTTCATGAAATCAAGTCCCAAAAGCATGTCAATTGTGCAAAATTCAACTTGAAATGTAAGATCACGATATGAACATGACATGCATGTATTCACTTGAGTTCATAGCTTCCAAAGCGTGATCAAATGAGGTCCAATGGTGAGAAATGTTATGAATTCTTCAAACCATGCTAGAATTACAACATGCATGAGAGGAAATCTTTGAAAACAACTTCCAAATGCCATGAAATATGCATGCATGCATCATATGATCTATACTCCTTCATTCTAGTTCAATTTTAACTTAATTCTCTTGTATTCATGAACTTACCAACTCAAAAGCAAGACCAAAGGCTTGAAGTCTTACCTTATACCTTGGATTCACAAGAGTAGAGGCTTAAATTTCTAAATTCTCTTCAAGTCTCCAACAATTCCTAACAATTCACTCCTTCCTTGTTGAACTCACTCTCACTTTTGGTCTCTCTTTTTCTTCCACGCTTGTAGCTCAAGAAGGATGAAATGAGAGTGTTGGATGCATATAAGGGTCTACTAGTGCCTTAGTTAGGCTTGAATTAAGGAATTCATCAATTAGTCTTAATTAAGCATTAATTATTCTAATTTAATTGTTCTGAATCGAATTTCAATTGAACCTTCCATAAAATTCTAAAAACTCCAAATAAAATATAAATCAAGTCAATTTCTGAATCGGATGTCGATAAAGCCTTTAATTCGTAAACTAAAAATGGAAACGTGAACATATCTTTCTACGTTAAACAGATATAAACACAAAGGCAATACATATGCAAGTAATACAAGATTCCACTTTAATTACTTATTAAGCCTTCTTAATCATGAATTGTATGTTAATCATGGGTCGAGGTTGTTACAGTCTTCCCCCCTCAAGGAGTTTGGTCCTCTAAACTCGAATTACTTTCATTTTGGAGAACACCGAATTCAAAGGAAACAATTCTAGGTGTCTTCTCATCATATCTTCTTTTGTCTCCCAAGTCACATAGGTTCTACTGTGATTCTGCCAATCAACCTTCACCAACAGAATTTCTTTGTTTCTCAATCTTTTGATTCAGCGATTCACAATTTGCATTGGCCACTCCTCGTACATATAATCATTTTTTAGAAGCACATGGGTCGGTTCAATTACATGTAGTGGATCTCTCAAATAATCTCGAAGCATAGAAACATGAAAAACATTATGCATATGCTCCATGACTGGTGGTAAAATTACCCGATACGTCATCGAGTTGATTTTTTCAAGAATTTCATATGGTCTAATATATTTCGATGCCAACTTACCTTTTACCCCCAAACTGCGTTTGCCTTTTCATAGGAGTCACTTTGATAAACACATGATCTCCGACTTCATATTCTCGATTTGTTCTTCGAACATCTACATAACTCTTTTGGCGACTTTGTGCAGTTTTCAAGCACTGTTGGATCAACTTCACTTTGTCCGTCGTTTCTTGCACAAGTTCCGGTCCTAACAAAGGTCTATCACCTACTTTAACCCAACAGATCGGAGAACGACATTTTCTTTCATACAGAGCTTCGTAAGGTCTTGAATGGTAGCTATTATTATACACAAATTCAACCAATGGTAAGTAGGTCTCCCAATTGCCTTAGAAATCTAGGGCGCACATTCTAAGCATATCCTCTAGAGTCTGATTGGTTCGTTCAAATTGGCCGTCTGTTTGTGGGTGGTAGGCACTACTTAATCGTAGTTCAATTCCCAAAACCTGTTGTAGACTTTGTCAAAATCTTGACATAAACTTCGAATCTCTGTCAGATACAATAGATACTGGCACACCATGCAATCTTACAATCTCACTCATATAAATGTTAGCCAACTTGTCCTCATTATAGATAGTTTTAACAGGCAGAAAATGGGCAGACTTGGTTAAACGGTCAACAATAACCCAAATAAAGTTCATATCTTGAGAAGAGCGAGACAATCCCACAATGAAGTCCATGGTAATGTGCTCTCATTTCCATCTCGATGTTGGAAGCAGTTGTAACAAACCAGCGAGTCGTTGATGTTCAGCTTTAACCTGTTGGCAGTGTAAGCATCTAGCCACAAAATCTGCAATACACTTTTTCATTCTCAGCCACCAGAAATTCTGTTTCAAGTCATGATACATCTTTGTGTTTCTCGGATGCATGGCAAATTTCGAATTGTGAGCCTCAGTCATAATGCATTTCCTCAAGTCAAAACAATCTGGTACACAAAGGCGACCTTGAAATTTCAGCACATTGTTCTCAAGTACAAACCCAGGCCTTGGTTTTGAGTCAATTTCATCCACAATCTTTTTCAAGAATTCATCTTGCAGTTGTTTCTCTCTAATATCTTCAATAATTGCAGGCTGAGCAGAGATAGCAGCTAAGATCCTGCCCTGTTCACGCATCACAATCTCAATCTCATTCTTTTCCAGGTCACATAACAATTCCTTCTGACTAGTGAGCAAACATGACAAATTCTTAATGGATTTTCAGCTTAATGCATCTGTAACGATATTTGCCTTCCCTGGATGATACAAAATTTGTAAATCATAGTCTTTGATCAATTCTAGCCACCTTCTCTGTCTCATGTTTAGTTCTTTTTGGGTAAAGAAGTATTTTAAACTTTTATGATCGGTATATACCTCACAAGTTACACCATACATATAATGGCGCCAAATCTTCAAAGCGAAAACCACCGCGGCGAGTTCAAGGTCATGGGTTGGATAATTCTTCCCATTCTGCATTAGGACACAACCCAAACCTTTGTAGAAAGCATCACTATAAATCTGAAACCCATCAATTCCGTTCGGTAAGGTCAGAATTGGTGCAATTACCAGGCTAGTCTTCAATTCTTGGAAGGCTGACTCCCGTTGATCATTCTAATCAAATAGTGCATTTTTCTATGTCAACTACGTTAATGGCATAGCAAGTTTTGAAAAATCTTTCACAAATCTGCGATAATAACCCGCAAGCCCCAGAAAGCTTCTAACTTCTGACACATTTGCAGTCTAGGCCAGTCCATAATAGCTTCAATTTTCTGTGGATCAACTGATACACCATCTTTGTTAATCACATGTCCCAGTAATGCTACACAGTTGAGTCAGGATTCACATTTGGACAATTTGGCATATAACTTCTTTTCTCTCAAAATTTGTAGAGCAGTCCTAAGGTGGTTCTCATGTTCTTCCTTACTTTTAGAATAAATCAAGATGTCATCAATAAACACAACTATAAACTCATCTAGAAATTGTTTGAAAACCCGATTTATTAGGTCCATAAATGCTGTAGGTGCATTTGTTACTCTAAATGGCATTACCAAAAATTCATAATACACATATCTAGTTCTTAATGCAGTTTTCTCTATGTCTTCTGCCTTGACTTTTAACTGGTGATACTCGGATCTAAGGTCAATCTTAGAAAACACTTGGGCTCCCTAGAGTTGGTCAAATAAGTCATCTATTCGGGGTAGTGGGTATTTGTTCTTCATGGTTACTTTGTTCAATTCCCGGTAATCTATACATAATATCAAGAACCCATCCTTCTTCTTATCCAACAAAACTGGAGCACCCCAAGGTGAAGTGCTCGGATGGATGAATTTCTTGTCTAACAGTTCTTGAAGTTGGGTTTTCAATTCTTTTAGTTCTGAGGTTGACATTCTGTAAGGGGTCTTAGAAATAAGTTGTGTTACCGGTATTACTTTAATAGTGAACTCAATTTCCTTGCCAACTAAGTCTCCAGGAAAGTCATTTGGAAACACATCGGGAAATTCACAAACAAAAGGAATGGCTTCCAAATTAGAATTATCAGAAATCTCAATCAAAACATAAAACACATAACCCCTATATCCCTTCCTAAGCAATTTAGCAGCCTTCATGGCAGAAATCAGGTATGGGGGAGGAATTACCCCATTCCCACTAAACACAAACTCAGGTAAGCCAGGTGGACAAAATAAAACAGATTTATTCACATAGTCAATAGTCGCACAGTACTTCGCTAACCAGTCCATACCCAGTATACAGTCAAAATGATTGATTCCCAACGACAATAAGTCAACATACAACGTTACATTACCAATCACAATATCACATACTGGATACACATATGCACATATCATAAAACCCCCAAATGGCGTAGATACAGACAATAATTAATTCATGGATTCTAAGGGTCTTGTTAATTTTCGAGAAAAGGCATGTGACACAAATGAGTGTGTAGAACCAGAATCTATCAAGACATATGCATTTTGGGCACAAATGAAAATTATACCTGACACTACAGACTCGGTGTTCTGTACATCTCCAGGCATTAGTGCGAACACTTCTCTTGCCTTAACGTTTCATTTCCAGTGTTACCCCTAACATTAGTTCTAGCGTTTGACCTAGCCACTGAAGTAGACCTAGCTGAACTTTCTGCGGGGCGATTGGCATTCTCGAGCCCAAGTGGATAATCTTTTATCATCTGGCCAACTTTGCCACACCGGTAACAAGTACCAGATGCATGGTGACACACTCCTCTATATTTTCTTCCACAATCAGGACACTTTAGAATATAGCTACTACTCTGGTTAGAGCTACTGGAAGATCCCGTATTCTGTTTCTCTTTTGGAAATGACCGGCCCTTCTTGAAATTGAATCCGGACCTTTTACTTCTCCATTCTGTGGTTGGTGCCTTAGCTTGTTTTATTGTTGCTAGAGTGGCTTCCGCCATTATTGCTCTATCCAAAACTTTCACATAGGTAGGCAACTTCAATACACCTACTTGATCAAATATGTCTAAATCCAATCCTCCTTCAAATTTGCTGGCTTTCTTATAGTCTGTATTCACTATGTGAGGAGCAAATCTGGCTAACTCAGTGAATTTGGCTTCATACTCGGCCACAAACATCCTGCCCTGCTTGAGTTCTTGAAACTCTGACACTTTTCGATCTCTGAAACATTGGGGAAAGTACTTGTTATAGAATATCCCATTGAATTGAGCCCATGTCATATCCCCATTGTTATTTCGAACTAACAACCACCATTGCCGGGCTTCATCCTTTACGGTATATGTAGCCAAGAGTACTTTTTGCGTCACGGAGCAAGAAAATACTTCAAATAATTTTTCCATTTCGAGCAACCATGTTTCTACCTTTAAAGGTTCAATGCCACCTAAGAAGGTTGATGGTTTCATTTTCATGAATTTATGGGTCAAGTTGATAATGTCATTGTTATCCGGTTCAACTTGTACCGGCGGAGGCGGAGGAGGCAAAGGTTGTAAAGGTTGTTGTCTCTGTTGTTGCGTTATTGCCTCAGTCAGGGCTGCAAGCATCTGTTCCATTATGTTTACTTGGGCCTCAGAAGACTCACTTGTATCATTTTCCCTTGCATTTTCCATGGTGCTATAGGTAAACAAAGCAATAATAAACATAGGTCAATAATTCGTTTCACTATGTTTAGATCACTTAGTCACGGCCATTCATTTCTATTTCATGTATTCATGGTCAGATCCAATTTCCATAGTAACAGACATTAGTATACATACTTACACATGCAGATAAGATGCCCCTAATGCTTACTAGGCAACCCTATAGCTCATATGGACTTGTGTGTGCGGTACAATCATGTGCTCAGATACCACTCTGTCACGACCCAAACCCGCCCCTTGGGTTTAACGTCGTAACCGGCCAGTAATCCTTGGATTACTAAAGGCCTTTGAACAGAATAACTTATAATTAGGGGCTGCGAAAGCAAATATAGAAACATATATAGTCTATTAAGTTATGGAGACATATATGGGACATAAACTCTTTTTTTTTTTTTTTAAATTTATACATATATACGTGACGTCATAAATAATACAGATGTAGCCAAAAAGGGACTTAGCCCAATATACACATAACATAAAACTTGTTCATAATTCAAAGAAGACAAGGTCTTAAACACAAGCCATTTAAACTCGACTCGCTCACAAGAGGGAACCTCCTCGGAGGCATAATGGTTGGCTGACAAAAATGGTACGTCAAGTTCTCAAATCTGAGCCTGGTCATGCACTTGGTTACCTATATACATAATAATAAATAGTGAGCGGAAGCCCAGTGAATAATAACATAGTAAAGGGTTTAAAAGAATGATGTCCATTACAAGTATAACTTCAAATCTCTTATTGAACAAAAGCATTACCATATTCATATCAGAAACATAATCATAAACATATTCATATCATGAGTGGTATATCTATTAGCATCAAACATATCTCTTTGGTCAAGCTTATTAAGTTTCACTTTGGAACCTCTGGTACCGGGTAACATATCTCATAAATGAGTCACGGTATTGTTTCCCTTGGGCGAGGGCGAGGGCAAGGGCGAGGGTCTCGGCCACGGTATTGTTTTCCCTGGACGAGGGCCTCATGACTATAAGCCACAGTATTTGTCCCCTGGGCGAGGGCCTCTGCTAAGGATATCACATAAACATTTCAAAAAAGTGGATCATCATTCATGTAATCACATAATAACCTTTTGTATCATTAAAAAATAGTTCATATCATATCATAGCGTTCAGAAAGTATTTCATATCGAACATAACTTTAGTAATTCATTACTCTCAGATAGCTTGGCAGCAAACCAATGGATCAACCACTCATGGCGTGCGACCTACACCAATCATAACAGATACACACACTGAAACACACGCTCGAATTATACATAACTCATTTCATTTTGTTCTTAGTGTGTTTTTAGTCTTCACTCTCATTATTGAGTCTTAATCTTGGCCTAGGAATGCCTAAGATGCAATAAGGATGCAAAATTGTATTTGAAAATACTTGGTCAAAAATGCTGGGAACAGGGGCCCCGCTCGAGCGCAACTTCCTTCGCTCGAGTGGACATGAAAACATATGAGGGGCCGCTCGAGCATAATTTTCTCCGCTCGAGCGGTCTACAAACTTTGAAAAAGTTCAGGTTATGTAATTTTCATGCTCAACGGACGCTCGACGGTCGCTCGAGCATGAGACTCATGTCCCTGTTCGAGCGCAACCCTTGTCGCTCGAGCGGTCTGCAAAAACATGAAACTTTTGGGAGCATGCATTTTACCCTTGAGTGGACTTCTGGTTGCCCGAGCGAAAGTGCAAGACCTTAGAACGGTCGCTCGAGCACAGAGTTTGCCGCTTAAGTGGAAGTGTAGAATTTGGAATTCCCAGATTGCACTCCCAAGCTCCAAACTTGAATTCAAAGCCATTAAACTCATCCTTTGGGCCCCAAAACTTGAGAAGATCAGTTTAAACTTGAAAACATTAAGAATTAAAGATCATATCATGAAATCAAGCCCCAAAAGCATGTTAATTGTGCAAAATTCAACTTGAAATGTAAGAACATGATATGAACATGACATGCATGTATTTACTTGACTTCATAGCTTCCAAAGCATGATCAAATGAGGTCCAATGGTGAGAAATGTTATGAATTCTTCAAACCATGCTAGAATTACAACATGCATAAAAGGAAATCTTTGAAAACAACTTCCAAATGCCATGAAATATGCATGCATGCATGGTATGATCCATACTCCTTTATTCTAGTTCAATTTTAACTTAATTCTCTTGTATTCATGAACTTACCAACTCAAAAGCAAGACCAAAGGCTTGAAGTCTTACCTTATATCTTGGATTCACAAGAGTAGAGGCTTAAATTTCTAAATTCTCTTCAAGCCTCTAACAATTTCTAGCAATTCACCCATTCTCCCTTGTTGAACTCACTCTCACTTTTGGTCTCTCTCTTTCTCTCATGTTTGTAGCTCAAGAAGGATGAAATGAGAGTGTTGGATGCATATAAGGGTCTACTAGTGCCTTAGTTAGGCTTGAATTAAGGAATTTATCAATTAGTCTTAATTGAGCATTAATTATTCTAATTTAATCATTCAGAATCGAATTTCAATTGAACCTACCATAAAATTCTAAAAACTCCAAATAACATATAAATCAAGCCAATTTCTGAATCAGATGCCAATAAGGCCTTTAATTCGCAAACTAAAAACGGAAATGTGAACAGATCTTTTTACGTTAAATAGATATAAACACAACTAAGGCAATACACATGCAAGTAATGCAAGATCCATTTTAATTACTTATTAAGCCTTCTTAATCATGGATTGTATGTTAATCATGGATCGGGGTTGTTACAAAGGTAGACTAAGGTGCAAGTGATCATCCAAGGTAGGCTAAGGTGAGATGCAATGCTTGGCCTAGGTGTGAGGTCTGGACAAGAGTGGGTCTCGGTGACCACACTTAGGGAAGTAAAGTCTGGAAATCTAGATTTCCTCTTGAAGAACATAAAAACACATGAGAATGAAGAACATGAATGTTGAAGTCATAATTTCTTATTCAAAATATGAGATTTCATGATATGAGTTTAAAAACATAGACCTGGGTACCTATATATGAAGATTTCAAGAAAATAAACACAAAAATATGGAACTTGATACAAACTTTTGGATCAAACATGATTTTTCTTCAAGAACACAAGAACATGACCTTTCTTTTTAAAACAAAACTTTAAATCAATGCATAGCTCATGAATTATGGTAGATCATGCAATGTGATCAGATTAACATAAAAATCAACAAGAGTAGATCAATAATCTAATCTCAAAACATAAATCAAATGGTTCAAGGTCAGCAAATCAAGCTTGGAAATTTAGTTTTCTTACTCTAAGACCTTCTTGTTTCTAGAGCTTCTCTCTCCTCAATACAAGGGTATAGAAAATGATATGGGTTTCTCAACAGCTAACTGACTTAAACCCACTACTGAGACATGTGGCATCATATGATCAATCTCCTCAAAAAGCTGCTAGAATGAAAAGACAATAGTAGGTCAAAGCATGTATAACAAGTAAGGTGGCATGGGCACTCTGACAAGGAAATGATCCTGGATCAAAACATAGGCTTCGGACAAGTGAAGGATAAATGAAGTCTTCCTAATCTTGCCTAGGAGAAGTAACTCTTGGCCTAGGAGTGACACATCTTGTAATGCCCTAAATTTATATAATAAACCATCCATTACCATAAGTAAATAACAATGTAAATCAGAGTATAATATCCTTCAATTACATAAGACTTAGTTGTAAAAATGGGTGACACATGCGAATATATATTCATGAGTCCTAACCCTGAATCTATAGCATGTGTCAGCAACAAACATATAGAATAGAAGTCAAACAGATAATAGAAATGCCTTGTAGGTGTAGACACCCCATTTTTGACCGTTCTCAAGACTTGGACGTCATCGTTTGAACACTCAATGATCATCTATGCTCGTGTTTGTTTTGAGTTCTCGGGGGTCTCGATCGCGCGCATTGCCTCAAGATCTCTCAAATTGTCTGTTTTGTGCTTGGTTGCGGACCAAGGACTTGTGTTTTGCTTCTGAGGGAAGAGGGTGGCTTGTTAGCCATTCCCTCAACCCATCGGCCTTGTGTTCTTGCCATCGGCCAAAAGTGTTGGCCGATCGGCACTTTTTTTGGTCAGCCGGCACTTATGTTGGTCGCTCGGCCATATTTTCTGGCCGAGCCCTGTTTATCTGCTGTATGCAGATATTTTATGCCAGCTGTTATAGTTAGCATGCACAATTCACACATGTATGGAGGGATTTGATTCAATTGCTTAGCTTGCTCAACAAGCTTAGGAATTGAACTTCTACAAAGAGGGAGCCCCTCCTCCCTTTTCACAGGTTCAGAAAATTAAGGTTAGAGTGATAGATATAGTTTTGTATCTATCTTGCCTTGATTCTTCATTTTGTACTTCAAAAGTGTCGTTTTGTCTTACTATTATACACAAACACACACTAGAACACCATCCGCTTGGAGCTGAGGTCCCTTGAGGGTGATTTTAGTGTTCTTGGGCTGGTTTTGATCAAAAAAGGCTGCTAGAGCATTGTTCTTGAAGGTGGTCTTCAAGGGTGAGTTCCTTGCTTTTAAACCCCCATTCTTGTAGCTTTTAGACCTACTTGCTTATTGTTTTAAGCTTAACTCTTAACTGATAAAAGTTCTGTTTTTTTATGCTTTAGATCTTTATTCAAGGTCATTTTGAGGTTGGGGGTGATCTACCCCCTCTTAGGCCTTGTTTTAGGCCATCCCTTTTGGCCCTTGTTCTTGGCTTTGCATGACCTTTCTACCATTGAAATCGAGAGGATTTTCAGTGGTGGAAAAGTAGTTTTGAGGTCTTAAATAGGAGAGGGTCATCCCCTCTCCTTGTTGTCTCATATGCTTGCATAAGTGGCTTATATTGGTAGCATGTTGGCTTAGCTTGTTGTAGCTTCATTTCAGTATGTGTTAGGCTTTGTTTTGCCATGATACAACACTGTTTTTGCTTGGTTTTGTCACTCCATGCATACCTAATACACTTGTAGTG